GAAACATGTTTCTTAGCGTTTTCGGATGTAGATTTTTAAAACAATATTTTTAAGCTAAACTTTTATTGGTTGACTTTGCTTAGATTTCATTCATTAGATTTTTTTGACGAAAACATGCATTTGTTAAAAATTTATTACACAAAAACTAAGACATCTAGAAATATTATTTTTACTACCGCAAGGAGAAACAAAAGGAACAAGAACAGACGACAAAGAGAAAATAAAAACAAGAAAAGCAAAAGACAAAGTGGAAGGCCTAACTCTAATTGGCATGATCGAAGATAGGGGTTGGGAAATTTTAAAAGAGGGCGATTTGGAGGAAGATTACACATACATTGGACAGATCGGGACATCCATAATAGATTATGGGATTGCTAATGACGAATCATGGGAAAAAATTGTCAGAAACAGAGTAGAAGCAAACCACATATCTTTAGAAATTACAATAAAAGGACAAAGGACAAAGAAAAATGTAAGGAGCAAATAAGAAGAAAAAATTATACAAGTAAGAACGAAATGGAACGAAGAACCAAACCAAAACTATAGAAAACAAACAATCAATTTTCAATAATTACTATGCAGATACTGACGATATGTACAAAGATCTAGTCAGAAAGACAAAAGCAACTATGGTTAAAAAAAAAGTATATACAAAGACAAAACGTAACAATTGGTGGAATAAAGAATGTAAAAAAATGAAAAAACAAGTTAGAGAGAAACTAAAAAAATGGAAAAAAGGAATAGATACAAAACCAGAGTATCTGAAAACAAGAAAACAGTACAAGAAAAAGTGTGAAGAAAGAAAAAAAAACAGCAAAAAGAAGAAAAAACAAAATAAAGAAAATTAGAACAGAGTCAAAGGTGGAAATTTATAAATAAAGAAAGAAAATGTAAAGACAAAATAAACGAAAACATAAGTTTGGAAAAATGGTAAAACCACTTTATGGAAATACTGGAAGCAAGTCAAAACAGAACCGTACCGGGTACCGGGACCAAAAGTACGGAACCATTGGAGGAAATAAACGAATTTACAAAATAAGAAATAGAAAAACAGATTAGAAAGTTAAAAAAGAAAGCTACAGGAGAAGACGGAATTCCAAACGAAACACAGATATACGCCAGAAAACATACAAGACAATTATTTACTTTTAGGTGTTTATAATCAAATATACAGGGTGCGCCAGAACTCGCGCCCCAGAGAAAAATGCCATATAAGGTAAGATACCAGGAATATGGAAAAAATGTTAAAAAAAATTTATCTTTAAAAATTTCGAAGTTATGAGGTTTTAAATTTTGCACTTGGACTCTATTTATTTCTATTGGAAAGATAATTTTCCAAGTTTTGCTATAGGCTATTAAAAGAGAAAATAAGGTAGCTGGATCCTAAATTGTAACTCTGTTTAATGTTATTTGTGGTTTTTATTGGCAAAATTTTTGTCCCTTAACTAACATATACAGGTTCATCTGTATCATTAAATAGATATAAAAAAATGTCAAATACCAAAAAATAAATGTCAAAATTTTTTGACAGATAGAATTTTTTGAACATTTTTTTCATGTTCCTGGTATCTTACCTTACTTGAAAATTTTCACTGGGGCGCGAGTTCTGGCGCACCCTGTATAACGTTAAACATTAAAAAAATAATTACTATTGTTTCAGTAGCCAAAAAGTGCACAGTTGCACAAGAGATGGAAGAAATATATTAAAAGTTAATTTTTTTAGATAGACAATTTATCAATCTATTAAATGCAAAAATAAAAAATAGGTTGTTCCATTAATTTTTTTAAATTATTTAACTTTTAATAAACTTTCAATTTATTAATCTTTACAAATGCAAAACACTAAAAAATGCTACAGCTTTAAATTCTGTACTTTCTCCTTTGCAGAAGTAAAAAAAAATTGTTCTAGCTGTCTTAGTTTTTGTGTAATAAATTTTTAAAAAGTGCATGTTTTCGTCAAAAAAACGTCTTATTTCTAAAACTAAGCAAAATCGACTAAAAAAAGTTAAGCATAAAAACATTGTTTTAAAAGAATGCAAAGAAACATACGGTGTTTCATTAAAAAAAAAACACAAGTTTGTATCGTAATTTATTTTTGGGACATGCTGTATGGCTGAAAATAATTTTAGGTGATGCACTAGATGTGTCTTTCAAAGTTTTATACATTTTTTTTAAATTTTACCATTTAAAGATTACTAATGGACTTTTTCAACTCGCTGGGACACCCTACTATACTATACTATACTATGAAATAAAACGACTAACTGCTTTCAATTGATATGTTTTTTATTTAAGTACATTTTGCACAATCTTATCTATAGTGTCATCAAAAATCTGATTCCTGTCTAAAGTGCAGGCATAAGTATATCCGGCGAAAGCATCTTCGTTGTCAATACGGTCGACCCAATTAAGACTATCGAAAACGTTTTCACAAACTGATTCAAATTCGGAATCAGCTTGACTCTTCTTATTCCAGGGATTATTGTAGACAAAAAATATAATCCCAAATTTGGTTGTTTTGGAATACATTAATTTCCAAATCCATTGTGGTACAGGAATGGCCTTAAATAAAGTGTCTAAAAAGAGTTTTTTTCCTACTAGAGTGGCGACATTTAGAGCACCAGTAAGCATGATAACATCTCCATAATCACCACCATGGGTTATCAGTTCTTGCATGGCAAGTCTGATCTTCTTCCAATTACCCTGATCGATTGTGTTCCACCGAAACACAGCATTGGAGGTGTCAAAAGTCAAATCTCGTTCAAAAGACGTCAGAAATTCGCTGGGATCTGCCAAGTGGCCCAAGATAAGGGTGACATTATCTGTGATGTAATCCCCAAACCCTAAATTCTCCATTCTTTCCTTAACTGTCTTTTCATACTCGAGTAAATTCTTCCCTTGAAACACCTCACTTGGGTTAAAAAACGTAACATTTGGGTCGTAACTCGGATTATTATCCAACCACTGATTTGTCGTATACTTTGAGTACAAAGGTACGTAGTAATGATAATCAAAACACATCGAAATACTCGTGAGATTGGTTCCAAAAACCACGTTATCCATGTTATGGAGCCGAAAATTATGTTCGCATAAAGTGTCTGTGTTGTAATGTAAAACATTGGGTCTGGTTTCTTGTCGACATTCAATTTCGTGGAAATCGACCACTAAATCACTACTCAGGGTGGAAATTGTCGAGTTGTGGTGGCAAATAGCCACTTCGCCTGACCCCACAATGGGGTAGTTGGAGGTACCATTGGGGCACGCAATGTAGAAGAATTCACCTTGAGAGAAATAAATTTGAGTGTTGTGGATGGAGATAGGGGTCGGGTATTGGAAGCTGGAGTTGACGACCAGAGGGGCGTTTGGAGCTTTAGCCAAGATGTCCAAAACACAGCCTAATTTTTTTTTAAATAATTAAACAAGTCGGGAGGGTTAAAAGAGTTACCTATTTCGGCTTGTGAGGTTGCTAAAGAAGCGAGAAGAAGTAGCAAAAGTGACATTTTGAACTGGATTTGATGAGTGTATCGGGATTTATATAATACGATGTGATTAGATTATTTAGATAGTGATTCAACAACAGGACGTGTTGCAATATTGTTAGATAAAATTTTTATTTTCTATTCTAAATTTGTTAAAAAAATTTTTAAAGAAAATGTGAAGGAAACTTTTTTAGTTGACAGTCTGAAGAGAATAGCAAAATTGATTTTATTAACGTTTACAAAATCTTTCATTTTCAACAACACCTCACCTTTTTTCTTATTTTAAAAACCTTTTCCAATAAAACTTCTTATTTACATTTTTATCAATAAGTCGATAACAAAAAAGAATAAAAAAAATTTCTACTCTTAATTTTTGATTTGTGAAACAAACCTGAGAAGCATGGGCTTCAATTTTGAGACTTCCTGTATTTTTAAGATAGATTAAGATTTGATGTATACAAAATCTAATCACTTAATAGTTCAATTAAAGTTTTTTTTTTCTTAATAACTTTTTTCCGATTAGACTTTGACGGCTTCGGTTTAGATTTGCTTCTGAATTTTTCCTTGAAAACGTTATTAACAAGAGAAAATTTTCAAGTAAGATAAGATACTAGGAACATGAAAAAAATTCTATCTGTCAAAAAATTTTGACATTAATTTTTTGATATTTGACATTTTTGGTGTCTATTTAATAATACTGATGATCTTGTATATGGTTTTTTTATAATTATTCATAATCATTCATAATTTTCATAAACAGAGTTACAATTTAGGATACAGCTTCCTTGTTTCTTCTTCTAATAGCCTAGCAAAAAAACTTGGAAAATTTTTTCAACAGAAATAAATACAATCAAAGTTCAAAATTTAAACCCTCCTAACTTCAAATTTTTTATAGATGAAATTTTTTTAACATTTTTTTTTTTCATGTTCCTGGTATCTTACCGTATATAGTATTTTTCTCTGGGGCGCAAGTTCTGGCGCACCCTATATATCGTCTTTAATTCCTAATCAACTACGAATAGTAGTTGAAAAATCAGTACAAAAATTATTTTGGTTGCATTTCTATACTTACGAGTAGATACCACAAAACATCACCAATAAAATTTCGAAATTTCCGCCAGTATCTTTTGAATTTTGCTTATCTAGTACTTTTTCATTTAATATTTCTGGATTTTCTAAGAAATAAAAAAATCTTATATTTAATCTGCCGTTCTTAATTATTGATAAGTGATAACTGATAACAATAAAAAAAATACAGGTATAGGTAATCGTTGCATCTAAAACTTTTTTATTATTTTTATTTATTAATTTTAGTTTTTTATTTTATTATTTTAGTTATTTTAATTATAACTTTGTGTCAAATTTATTCATAACATAACTTTTATAATATGCAGGGTGAATCATATGTAGACTGCAAGCCATGACTGCATTTTTTGTAAAGATATGACAATACTTCTTAGAACAGATTCTTGTCATCTTTTGTTTGGAATCGATACTCAATCAATGCTGCTTCCTGTTTCACCAGTACTAACAGCAATTTTAGTTTTTTAAATGGAACAGCCTGTATATTTTATTATTTTTAGATTCATTGTTAAATTGTCTTTCAACAAGCTAACTATTCATTACTTATCACTAATTTGAAAAAAATTGAACATTTTTATTAATTTTATCTAAGACAAACAAATGACTGATAACAAAAAACTGTTCAGTTTTGATCAAAACGGTGTTGTAACGTAAATGTAAATACATTTTCTGATGCCACTATGAGTTTTAATTGATGTACTGTTTGAAATTTTGCAATGATATGCACAGAGATGGGTGTGATAGTTTTGCTTTGCTTTCAATTTATTAATCTAAATTTTTCAAACACAACAAAAGCCAAATTATCTGTGGGAATGTATTCTGGGTTGCGTGTAAAAATCGGTTAAAGTCTTTATTATAAATGACTCGTTCAGTATTACTATTGTTGATTTTGGTCACAAATATTGTTTAATTATTGTTTTAATAAATAAGATTATTTCATAATTTTGGCGCTCACTGTATATTTTTTAATGTTACGTTGTCAAAAATCTTATATTTGGCTAATAACGTTTATTTAGAGAAACAATTGTTTCCTGCTATTTGCTTTAGTTTTTCCTCTTTCTAAAGTATTTTATTTTAGAACAAATCATTATTTTTATTTAGTTGAGTAACTGGAGAACTGTTAAACTAACACTTTGATAAGATTATTAGATAAATCAAACATATTACAAGTATTTTTTTAATGTATTCCAAGACAATATTTTTTTCATTAGGGTTGTTGAGACGCTTTCACCGATTCACCCATGCTAAGCGAAGGAATTTCAAGTAGTGCATCTGAGAATGTATTTTGGGTTGCGTCTGAAAATTGGTCAGGGTCTTTGTTATATGTTACTCAGCCTGACTTAGCCTGTATATTTTTTAATGTTACATTGTCAAACATTTTATATTTGTTAAATAAAGTTTATTTAGAGAAACAATTGTTCCCTACTATTCGCTTAAATCTTTTTCTTTATAAAATATAGGATTTTGGAACAAATCATTAATATTATTTAGTTGAATATTTGTACAACTAACACTTTGATAAGGTAATAAGATAAATCAAACATATTACAAGTTTTTTTTTAATATACTTCAGGACAATATTTGTTTCATTCCGGTTTTTGAGGAGCTTTTACCGATTCACCCATGCTAAGCGAAGGAATCTCAAGTAAATTACTTTGAATGTTGGTTTCTTCTAAAGCATTGTTCACAATTTCTCTCATCGTTTCATCAAGCAAATAATCTCGTCCCACAAGACATGCAAAGGTAATTCCGGCTTTTGGGTCTGTATTATTAATTCCTTCGACCCAATTAAGATTTCCCAATACATCTTCTTTACAAACTCTTTTAAAATCGTAGTCAGGTTGATCTCTGGGAACGTAAGGATTGTTATAAACAAAAAATAGTATAGCGAATTGTGAAGAAGGAGCAATCATTAGTTTCCAAAACCAGGCTGGAACGGGCATTCTGCTTTTACCATCTAAAAACACTTCAATATGTTGGCCAGCATGGTCGCCAGTATGGATTCCTAAAGTTGCTATATCTAAGGTACCACTAAGGATGGTAACATTACCCAAATCAATTTCTTGAGTAATCAACTTTTGAACAGACGATACCACACTTTTCCAATTTCCGTTCTTGATAGTGTTCCACAGGGGAGCCGTGTTGGCATAATCAAAAGTTAAGTCTCTTTGGTAAAGCGAAAGGAAATCATTATAGTCCGCTAATTGTCCCGGAACTAAGTACACGTCGTCGGTGATATAGTCAGCCAAATCCATATTTTCCAGCGTTTGTTTCGATTGTGTATAAACATCCCCTGGTATAAGATTACCAAAAAGACGCTGGGCTACGTAACTAAAGCCAATATTTGGATTGTAGTTTATAAACAGGGCACTCCATCTATTTGTTGTATATTTCGAATAAAGAGGTACAACTTGCCCCAGGTTAAAACAAAGTTTGACCACTGGAGTGAAATGATTAGCAATATTTTGACCAATGTATGCAAGGTATAATCCCAAATCGCACGTTTGGCCAGGAAACTGTTCATAAAAATATGGTCTGAATTGTTGATGACACGTGAGTGAATTAAAATCAACAGTTTTAGCACTAGTTAATGCATAAATAGTCGTATTTTCTACACATCGTACTGCTTCACCTTCTGGTTCTAGTGGATAGTTAGATATAGTAGTGTCAGCTTTTGGACACGCTATATACAAAATTTCATTTTCATTAAATTCAACCTCTGCAGAGCCATTATAAGTTGGATTTGGAAATTGGTGATTCAAATTTAAGAAAAGAGGTGTTGCGCCATTATTTTCCAATACGTTTAAAGAGCAACCTACATTTTACTAAAATAAGTATTTATTAGGATTCAAAAAACCACTTACCAGTTGCTTTAGGAGCTGCTGATACATATGAAGTCAGAGCTAAGAAAATTAAGACCAGTAGAAACATTTTTATTCGTTTGAAAATATCATTTTGTGATTGCACATTTATACTTACCACAATATACATCCCCACCAAATATATTGCAACACAGTTTAAAATTATTCTTGTTAAAGATAATTTATTTATAGGCTAATCGTGCGATCTAGATACTTCAAATTCAATATCATTGACATTTCATACAAAATTTTGATTATTTATTATAAAAAAATGAAGATTATATTGTTTTAATTCAAAATTTGAAATTGAGTGAATGATTTTAGATTTGCTGATACATAATGAGTGGAAACCGGATTGTAGGACGTTAAATAATGCAAAAAGGATCCTAAAAAAGGACAATAAAAACATAAAATAGAACATTATAATAGAAAAATAGATTATAAAGTCCTAGAGAATTAATGTTTTTTAATTTAATTTATAATATCTCAAATAATAATATATTTTATAAAAAAAATCAAATTGCGTATGTCCCCGAATTGAGTATGCAAAAGTAAAAAAAAATATCATTGATTTTATGCCAAAACCAAAAAAATCACATATTTTGCTTAACTTGAAACAAACAAAACTATAATTAAAACTTCATTATTCTGACTTACGATCGTGATTCTTTTTCTTCTTCTTCTTGTTCTTCTTCTTATTATTATTATTAGTATTATTATTATTAATTCTTTTGCTTTATGCAAAGTGAAGAGAAAAATAAATTTTTACTTAGAATAATAATAAAGTTTTCATTACAGACTCAGGATTTCAGGTTAAGCAAAAATGTTATTTTTTTGCTTTTGAAAATTCAATTCGGGTAGAGTGCCTATACTCGTATTAGTGGCGTAAGTTTAAATATACGCTCCAGAACTCGCGCCCCAGAGAAAAATGCCATGTAAGGTCGATACCAGGAACATGAAAAAATGTTAAAAAAATTCTATCTATATCTAAAAATTTTGAAGTTAGGAGAGTTTTCACTTTGACTCTATTTATTTCTGTTGGAAAAATTATTTTCCAATTTTTGCTGCTACAGGCTATTTAAAGAGGAAACAAGACAGCTGTACCATAAATTGAAACTCTGTTTAAAGTTACTTATCATTAATAGACATACAAAGTATCAAATGTCAAAATTTTTTGGCAGATAAAATTTTTAAACTTTTTTTCCATGTTCCTGGTACTTTATTTTACTAGGAATTTTTTTCTGGAGTTCTGACACACCCTGTAGATTTGCTCGTTTTATTTGAAGCAGTTTTGGCTTAAAATCAAAGATAAAATTTCTTTTTCTTTTGTAAACTCAATTCATTTTAATGTTATGTTGACAAAAATTTTGTTTTTGGCAAATCAATGACATTTATTTTGAGAAACAATTGTTTCATATTTGCTTTAGTTTTTCTTCCTCCTGAAGTTATGATTTTAGAAAAAAATATTTATATTTAGTTGAATAACTGGAAAATCATAAAACTAATACCACTTTGATAAGGTGGGTTGGAATAAAAATGTAACATGGTCTAATGTCAGTAATTTATTGAGTAAAAGATAAATCAATTATGTTACATGTATTTTTTTAATGTACTCTAGAACAAAATTTGTTTTATTTCGACTTCTGAGACGCTTTGACTGCTTCACCCACGCTAACTGAAGGAATTTCAAGCCAATTGCTTTGAATATTAGTCTCTTCTAAAGCATTGTTTACAATTTCTCTCATTGTTTCATCAACCATGTAGTCTCTTCCCACAAAGCATGCGTAGGTAAATCCGGCTTTTGGGTTTGTATTATCAATTCCTGTGACCCAATTAAAAGTTTCCAATACATTGTCTTTACATATCGTCTTAAATTCTTCATCAACTATAGATTTTTCAACATAAGGATTGTTATATACAAAAAACACTACAGCGAATTGTGGAGATCGAGCAATCATTAGTTTCCAAAACCAGCCTGGAACGGGCATTCTGCCATCACCGCTTAAGAACAGTTCAACAGGTCTACCACCCTTATTTGGTAAACTTGCTATTCTTAAGGTACCACTCAAGATGGTAACATCGCCCAAATCAATTTTTTCGGTAATTAACTTTTGGATAGACGACACCATACTTTTCCAGTTTCCCTTATTAATAGTGTTCCATTGGAAAGGAGCGTTGGCATAATCAAAAGTTAAGTCTCTTTGGTGAAGAGAAAGGAAATCATCATAGGCCGCTAATTGTCCAGGAAGCAAGTACACGTCGTTGGTGATGTAACCAAACACTCCCAAATTTTTCATCGTTTGTTTCGTTTTTGCGTAAACATCCCATGGTACCAGATCATCAAAAAGGCTATTGGACACGTAATCAAAGTCAATATTTGGATTATAGTACACAAACTGGGCACTCCATCTGTTTGTTATATATTTAGAGTAAATAGGTACTATTTGTGCTTTATCAAAACAAAGTTTTATCACTGGAACAAATTGCCTAGCAATAAGATGGCCAATATATTGAACAGTGAAACCAAATTCGCATTTTTCGCTAGTAAAGTGTTCATAAAAATACGGTCTGAATTTTTGATTGCAATTCATTGAGTAAAAGTCAAGAGTTTTATTACTAGTTATAGCATGAATAGTCGTTTCCCCTACGCATGTTGCTTCTTCACCGTCTGGTACCAGTGGGTAATTGGATTCAATAGTGTCAACATTTGGACACGCTACATATAGATGTTCGTATTTATTAAAGAAAACCATTGCAGTGTCATATGAAATCGGATCTGGAAAAACGCCACTAGAGTTCAGGAAGAGAGGAGTCTGGTCACCATTTCCCAAATAATTTAAATAGCAACCTACAATTTATTATTAATAAGTTATTAAGATACAAAATGCCACCTACCAGTTGCTGTTGGTTCCGATTTTGGGGCTGTTGATACATATGAGGCAAGGGCCAACAAAGTTAACACAAGAAGAGACATTTTGATTTATTTGTAAATACATATCAAATATTTTGTCATTGCATTTTTATATCTATCACCTATCCCCACCTAAAAAAGTAAAATTGCACATTTTATCTATCCAGGGTATCTGAAGTGTGTGATTAAAATTATCAAGATTTAATTTTTTTTGAGCTAAAGTTAAGTAAGTTTTTACTTTCCTTATCCTATAAGATAAGAAGATACTATAAATAAATTCATGAGGATAAGAATTATTTAAAATCATGAAATATACCTTATTAAACAGAAAAAAGTGATAAAATAAAAATAATAATAGGTGCCAAACTAAAAAAAAAATGAACCCTAGGCTCGAACCCGCGGCAACTATCATCTAGTTCACGTGTAATCCGGCAGGTGGCACTGCTAGTCGGATTCCCAACACTAAAAGGATGTTTTCCAGATAAGTGGGATAAGGAAAGTCGTGTGATGTTTACACCAGATTTTTTAATGTTACGTTGTCAAAAATTTTATATTTAGCAAATGACGTTTATTTAGAGAAACAATTGTTCCCTGCTATTCGCTTAATTCTTTTTCTTTCTAAAACATAGGATTTTGGAACAAATCATTACTTTTATTTAGTTGAATAATTGGAAAATTCTACAACTAACACTTTGATAAGGTAATAAGATAAATCAAACATATTACAAGTCTTTTTTTAATATACTCCAGGACAATATTTGCTTTATTTCGATTTTTGAGACGCTTTCACCGATTCACCCATACTAAGCGAAGGAATTTCAAGTAAATTACTTTGAATGTTGGTTTCTTCTAAAGCATTGTTTACAATTTCTCTCATCGTTTCATCAAGCAAATAATCTCGTCCCACAAGACATGCAAAGGTAATTCCGGCTTTTGGGTCTGTATTATTAATTCCTTCGACCCAATTAAGATTTCCCAATACATCTTCTTTACAAACTCTTTTAAAATCGTAGTCAGGTTGATCTCTGGGAACGTAAGGATTGTTATAAACAAAAAATAGTATAGCGAATTGTGAAGAAGGAGCAATCATTAGTTTCCAAAACCAGGCTGGAACGGGCATTCTGCTTTTACCATCTAAAAACACTTCAATATGTTGGCCAGCATGGTCGCCAGTATGGATTCCTAAAGTTGCTATATCTAAGGTACCACTAAGGATGGTAACATTACCCAAATCAATTTCTTGAGTAATCAACTTTTGAACAGACGACACCACACTTTTCCAATTTCCGTTCTTGATAGTGTTCCACAGGGGAGCCGTGTTGGCATAATCAAAAGTTAAGTCTCTTTGGTAAAGCGAAAGGAAATCATTATAGTCCGCTAATTGTCCCGGAACTAAGTACACGTCGTCGGTGATATAGTCAGCCAAATCCATATTTTCCAGCGTTTGTTTCGATTGTGTATAAACATCCCCTGGTATAAGATTACCAAAAAGACGCTGGGCTACGTAACTAAAGCCAATATTTGGATTGTAGTTTATAAACAGGGCACTCCATCTATTTGTTGTATATTTCGAATAAAGAGGTACAACTTGCCCCAGGTTAAAACAAAGTTTGACCACTGGAGTGAAATGATTAGCAATATTTTGACCAATGTATGCAAGGTATAATCCCAAATCGCACGTTTGGCCAGGAAACTGTTCATAAAAATATGGTCTGAATTGTTGATGACACGTGAGTGAATTAAAATCAACAGTTTTAGCACTAGTTAATGCATAAATAGCCGTATTTTCTACACATCGTACTGCTTCACCTTCTGGTACTAGTGGATAGTTAGATAAAGTAGTATCAGCCATTGGACATCCTATATACAAAATTTCATTTTCATTAAATTCAACCTCTGCAGAACCATTATAAGTTGGATTTGGAAATTGGTGATTTTAGTTTAGGAACAGAGGCGTCGCAACATTATTTGCCAACATGTTTAAAGAGCAACCTATATTTTACTAAAATAAGTATTTATTAAGATCCAAAAAACGACTTACCAGTTGCTCTGGATTCTAATTTTGGAGCTGCTGATACATATGAGATCAGAGCTAACAGCAGAGACATGTTTAATCATTTGAAAATATCATTTTGTGATTGCACTTTTATACTTATACCATAAAATGTGTCTCCACCAAATAAATTTGGTCATGATTTAAAATGATTTTTCTCAATGATAATAATTTAAGCTAATCGTGCGATGTAGATACTTCAAATTGTATATTTTTGACACTTCATATAAAATTTTGATTACCAAATAATCAAGATTATATTGTTTTATGCTGAATTTGTAATTTTTATAGATTAGATGCATGATAACAGGTTAGTTTTTAGGGTTAAGTGTTTTATTATTTTGCACTTAAGTCTACAAGAGATCCAAAACTTTCCAATTTTTCAATTTTGAAAAAAATGTATTTTACAGAGTTGGTAAAAGTTCGTAGAAAATATTAACATTTGCAATTTGACCCCTTTAGGATCACTTAATAAAGAAAATTTAAACAAATCGCTTGGACTGTTAAATTATAAAGAAAAAACACGTTACATTTTTATAAGTGGGTTAAGATATTTATTTTAAACATAATCTAATTATTTAATTAATAATAATAAAAACACAGGTATTTTATTAATAAGTTGTCTAATTATTTCATCAACTTATAATTTTGTCTCCTGCATTCGCGTTTGTGTAATCAATTCCTTTGAGCCAGTTAAGAGTGTTCAGCACATTTTCTTTAATTCTAAATTCATCTTTAATTCTTAATCAACTACGAATAGTAGGTGAAAAATTAGTACAAATATTATTTTGGTTTATTTAGAAAGATAATTTTCTGGTTGCATTTCTATACTTAGAGACAATAAGCGTACCCAGTTTGAAAAGAAATTAGAAAAATATGATGAAAAAGTTTTAAGCTTTTTATCAGGCACATGAAGTTCAGTTTCTTTTTTAGTTTTACAATTTTGTATTCTTTGTTGCATTTTTTAATTTTGTATCGCATAGGCACTGCCTATGTTGCCGCCACTGATAAATAGTCGTATTTTCTTTATACTGTTCTGCTTCACCTTTTGGTACCAGTGGAGAGTTAGATATAGTAGTGTCATCTATTTGACACGCTATATACAAAATTTCATCTTTATCAAATTCTACCTCTGCAGAACCATTATAAGTTAGTTGGATTTGGAAATTGATGACTCGAGTTTAGGAAAAGAGGTGTTGCGTCATTATTTGCCAATACGTTTAAAGAACAACCTACATATTACTAAAGTAAGTAATTATTAGGATTTAAAAAAATCACTTACCAGTTGCTTTCGATTATAATTTTGGAGCTGTTGATACATATGAGATCAGAGCTAACAGAGTTAACACCAGTAAAGACATTTTTAATTATTTGAAAATATTATTTTGTGATTGCATTTTTTACTTACCACAATAAAACGTGTCCCTACCAAATAAATTACAACACAATTTAAAATGATTTGTTTTATTAATTTATTTATAAGCTAATATTGCAGTCTAGATACTTGAAATTAGATAACTTCGATATTTCATACAAATTTTGTTATTATTAAAATAATAAAAATTATATTGTTTTGTGTTAAAATTTGCAATTTTGATAGATTATAGTTGCATGATAACAGGTTAGGTAGTATTATTTTGCACTTTAGTCTACAAGAGATCCAAAATTTTTCAATTTTCCAAATTTGAAAAAAACTGTATTTTACAGGGTCCTTAAAATTTCGAAGAAAATATTAGCATTTGCAATTTGACCCATTTAGAATCACTTAATAAAGAAAATTTAAGCAAACCGCTTGGACTGTTAACGTCATCTATAACTATAAAGAAAGAAAAAACACGCTACATTTTTATAAAATGGGTTAAAATATTTATTGTAAACATAATCTGATTATTAAATTAATAATAATAAAAACACAGGTATTTTTTTAAACATTTTTCTACGACTCCACTTTGACGGCTTCGGATTGGATTTGACCACCTCCCATCGGGATTTGAAGCAAACCGCTTCCGAATTTTTGCTCATTCAAAACGTTATTAACAATTTCTCTAATTACTTCATCAACCATATAATTTCGTGCCACTAAACATGCATAAGTAAATCCTGCTTTCGCGTTTGTGTTATCAATTCCTTTGACCCAGTGAAGATCGTTGAGTACATCTTTTTGACATATCGTCTTTAATTCTTTGTCAACTACGGATTTCTCAACATAAGGATTGTTATAAACAAAAAACATTATAGCACTATAGTCGGACTTAGAAAAAAACAATTTCCAAAACCAGCTTGGAACGGGCATTCTGCCATCACCGCTCAAAAACAGTTCAACAGGGCTACCACTCTTATTTGGTAAACTTGCTATTCTTAAGGTACCACCCAGCATGGTCACCTCACCGAAATCCTTTCCTTTTGTAATCAACGATTGCAAAGATGATACCACATTTTTCCAGTTTCCGTTCTTGATAGTGTTCCACTGAAAAGCCGTGTTGGCATAATCAAAAGTTAAGTCTCTTTGGTAAGGAGAAAGGAAATCATCATAAACCGCTAATTGTCCAGGAACCAAGTACACGTCATCGGTGATATAACCAAACACTCCCAAATTTTCCATCGTTTGTTTCGTTTGTTTATAAACATCCCATGGTACTAGATTATCAAAAAGACCATTGGATACGTAATTAAAATTAATATCAGAATTATAGTCCACAAACAAGTCACTCCATTTATTTGTTGTATATTTCGAATAAAGAGGTAGTATTTTTGTGGTGTCAAAACAGAGTTTCACCACACGAATCACCTTATTAGCAATAACTTGACCGATGTATCGAACGGTGAAATTTGATTCACATTTTGAGCTAGGAATTATTTCTCTATAATACGGTCTGAATTGTTGATGGCACGTAAGTGCATTAAAATTAACAGTTTTATTACTGGTTATCGCATAAATTAGCTCTCCCTCTACACACCTTGCTTCTTCACCGCCTGGTACCAGTGGAAAATTAGATTGAGTGGTGTCTGCGTTTGGACATCCTATATACAAAATTTCATCTTTATCAAATTCAACCTCTGTAGCACCATTATAAGTTGGATTTGGAAATTGGAAACTCGAGTTTAGAAAAAGAGGCGTCACCACATTATTTACCAATATGTTTAAAGAGCAACCTACATTTTATTAAAGTAAGTACCTATTTATTAAGGTTCAAAAAACTACTTACCAGTTGCTTTGGATTCTAATTTTGAAGCTGCTGTTACATATGAGGTCAGAGCTAACAGAATTAACACCAATAGAGACATTTTGACTCGTTTAAAAATATCATTTTGTGATTGCATTTATATACTTAGCACAAAATGTATCCCCACCAAATAAATTGCAACACAATTTAAAATGATTTTTGTTAATCATAATTTTTTCATAAGTTAATCGTGCGATATAAACACTTCAAATTGGATATTTTTCACATTTCATACAAAATTTTGATTATTATCTTATTATTAAAATAATGAAAACTATATTTTTTTAAACCAAAATTTGTAATTTGTATACATTAGGTGAATGATTTTTGAGCTGCAGATACATATGAGGTAAGAACTTACAAAGTTAACACAAATAGAAACTTTGCATTTTGTTACTTACCACACAACGTGTCCGTATCAAATAAATTGCATCACAACTTAAAACGATTTTTGTTAAAGATAATTTATTTATAAACTGATCGTGCAATCTAGATACTTCAAATTGGATCACTTTGACATTTTATACAAAATTTGGATTATTATTATTATTAAAAGAATCAAGATTATATCATTTTATGGCAAAATATATAATTTTTATTGATTAAATGCATGATAACGGGTTAGTTTTTTGGAGTTAAGTGTTTTGTTATTTTGCACTTTGGTCATCTACAAGAAATCCAAAATCTTCTTGAAAATAATTATTGACTACTAGGAGAGAAAAACATGTTTACAACCTCTCGACAAACTAAATAAGGGTATCTTTTACTGCTAGTAGTGAAACAAAGTTTATATATGACACAAAATAGTTTTTTATTCAACGAAATCTAATTTGCCTTGTAGTTAATTTTCCCAGCTCTCAGAAATTTATAAACCCGTTCGTACAAATAATCGTCGATGAGTTGTTCTGGATCAAGAGGGCAAGCATACGTGTATCCAGCTGAAGCATCCATATTATCAACCTCCTCCACCCAATCCAACTTATCGAGGACATCCTGTATACAAATATCATTCTTAAACTCATCATCGACCACATCTTTCGCCACAAACGGGTTATTATAAACGAAGAAAATAACTCCAGTGTTGCTGTTTGAAAAATACACCAATTTCCAATTCCAACGTGGCATATGAAACTCCCCTTGTCTGAATGTCACTTGAATGATTTCGTTGTTGTTATTTGGCAACGTTGCTGTTCTCAAACCACCCACCATCATGTAGACATCGGTGTCATGGTTTTTGGCAAGAAATGTCTGGATTGATTCTGTTACACTTTTCCAGTTTCTGTCATTAATGGATTTAAAGCGGAAAACGTAGTTTAACTGAAGAAAAGTCCCGTCTCGTTGCGAGGGGTAGAAAAAGTCTCCTTTATCGACTAAAGGCCCCGCGACGAGTGGACTTTTGAGATAAAAGTTGAGACCCAACATTTTCAAATCTTGCTCGTATTCTGCGAAAACTTCTTCGAAGCTGTATTTTCTTATTGAATGTGGAAACAACTTCAATCTATGAAACAAGACATCTTTGGCGTCGTATTTCGGTAGTTTGTTCAACCATGAGTTTGTCGTATATTGGATGTAGAGAGGAACCATTATGGATGTATCAAAACACATGTCTAAAACCTGGACTGCACTTGGTCCTACCTTATTAAAAAAACCTCGACGCTTATTGTTATTTTTGCAAAAACCAATCGATGCAAGACTCCTTATTATTGTGTCTTCAGTGGTGCATGTTATTTCGTTGAAGTCAATTGTAGCATTAAGTTTAGGGTCCAACACTTGGGTATCTTTGATACATTCCAAAAGGACACCCTTTGGGTCCAAATCCTCACGTTGGAATTTGCCTCGGGGACATGTCACCCAAAACTTCTCACCTTCTTGGAAGTAAACAAGTCTTTTGTTAAAAGCCACTGGCAAAGGGTATTCGAAATCGTTTGTCAATACTATTGGAGCTTGGGGGGAGTGGTAGACAGGATCCAAGAGACACCCTGTATACACAAAACAATTGTTTTTGAAGAAAGAACTCTATTACCACTCACCATCCCTAGCCACCGCTAACTTAAATACAACAAAAATGGGGAAAATTGACAAAAAACACATTCTGGATAAGATTGGAATTTTCCAGATGCTGGTTTTTATAACAGTGCTTATCATAAATGGTCGTTAATGGATTTTATGGCTAGATTAGAAACAAAATTCGTTTTATTTCGTGGTCATGTTTTATTGACGATTTGAAATTTTACAACTCGGAAAGTATTAAGGCTGGGCAGTTATGAAGATTGATGTATGGTGCTGCTACGAGATGGTGCTTAAATGGCTTAACTAAATGTCTAGCTTTTTATAAAATTAAAATTTAAAGATAATCAAAGTAAAAAACCAATAAATATTTTTTAGGTAAAGTTTTAATAAAATAAAACTGCCAACCTTGTAAGAAATTACAGTTTTTTGGACAAAATAGTATATTATGTTATTAGGAGTAAAAGTGATAGTTTTTGTAGTGAAGCTTAAGGTTTTTTAAATTTAGCTGAGTCAGATAAACTCACTTTTACTCCGAATAACATACAATTTATCCGCAAACGTATTCAGAGCAACACTATAATTACCAAGTAAATAAACAAAATAATCAGAAAGCTTTGTAAATAATGAAAACATAACAACGCTGATGAACAGTACTGGAATTTGTGTTAAGGTTTTCAAAAGTGTTTATTAATTTAAGTAGTGCAGTTAGTAGTGCAAAATGTCGATGATGATCCACGATGTATCTCTCCAAAAATTGCTGAAGCAAGGAGACAAAAAAGAAACAACATTGGTAAATGTCAATAACGTCATGGTAAAAGTATAAACGCTTAGACGCAAAAACAAAATTTTTACTCCATGGCTGAAAAGTAAAACTTTTACTTGTGACATTTAGTCATAAAAGTGGTCACTTTTGTGACGTTTTATTAAAAAAAATAAGATAAAATGAATGAAAGTACATGGGGGTCGATAAGAAAGAGATCTACATAATGATGATTCTAGAACAAGCATTGTTTCTTATTTTGTAAGACATTTTTTTATTAACAAAAAAAACAATTTTAAAACAACAAAAATATAAAGGCTGTCTCAGCGAGTTGGTAAAGTCTAATATTGATCTTTGAATGTCAAAAAAAATGTTTCTTGGCATTTTTAGATGTAGTTTTTTATTACAATATTTTTGAGCAAAACTTATTCTATTGGACGATTTTGCTTAATTTTTAAAATACTTATGTTGTTTTTAGAAAGAAATATACTCTTTTTAAAAATTTAATACCCAAAAACTAAGTTTAGATTGTAACTTATTTGTAGAGTTGAAAATAATTTCAGGCGATGCACTAGAATAGTATTTATCAGTTTCGTATATACAGGATGTATCAGAAAGATGTGTGTTAATATTAACATGTAACACATCTCGATAAATAATACATTGTTCTATTTGTAATTTTTCAATAAAAGCTTTTAAATTTGATTTAAAATTTGAAAAAGATAACATATCAAAATGTATACCCACCAATGGGTATCAAATTAAAAATTCCGAAATATTTTCGTTGTGATAGAAACGGAACTACATTTAAAGAATTGCATTGTTGTGATTATTTATTAACATTGAACGGCTTGTTTACACGAAATTATGAGGGAAAACAATAAAAACAATTAATAGGAATTTTGCAAAATGTTATATAAAAAAGTTGTTTTACTTGGTGTTCACGTGTTAAAATTAACAGACATGTTTCTGATCCTGTATATAATATTTTTTTTACATTTTAACATTTCAAGGTCAATAATGGACTTTACCAACCTTATGAACAATGCATTTTTTATTTTTTTAAAACGAAAAAAAAATTGTTAAAGAGGTCTAAGACAGTAGAATTTTTAAGTCAAAAAAAAACTTCAATTTTTTAAAACGAACACTGCTGTCAACTGGATGAAAAAACGACTGTTTAAATGTCTTTTTGATTGCAACAAAAATATATAAAAATGCGTAAAAAATACTTCTTTAAAAATAAATAATTTATTCGATTTTTGAAACTTTGACGAGTATTACTGTCAATAATAGCGCAAAAAATGAAACAAAAAACCAGAAACAATTCTTTATTAGACTTTTTCATTATTGCCCTTTTTTGGGAAGCCCCAATGGGGTTAACAAATTCTTGACAATTTCGCTCATTGTCTTATCAATAATTTTCGTTAATTTTAGAGGACACGCATACGTAAATCCAGCGAAAGGACTTGTATTATCAATTTGCGTATTCACCCATTCGATCTGCTCAAGAACATTTTTCCTGCAAATAGTGTTGTTAAATTCCTCATTAACCACTGGTTTCGAAACGTAGGGATTATTATAAACGAAGAAAATAACTCCAACTCCGGCTTTGTGCGAATGAAGCAACCTCCAGTTCCACAGTGGAACCGGATTTTTGCCGTTGTGCAACTTCAAATTGACTAAAACCCCTTCTTTGTTTGGCAAAGTGGCCACTCTTAGTCCTCCGGTGAGTACGGTAACTTCGCCAAGTTTAGTGGAGTTGCTAATGAATTTGCGAATGGAGTTTTGGATAATTTTCCAGTTGCCATTCTCGATTGTGTTCCACCTCAAACGGACATTTACCAAATCGGAAACTTTGTCTTTTTCGTAAGGGTAGAACAAGTCCTCTTGCGTAGCTAAACGCCCATCGATTAGATACACCTTATCAGTGATAAAATTAACAACACCCAAAGCTTCCACTGCTTGTCTATGATTACCCACTTCAAAATTTTCACTAAAATTAGGATTTTTCTTCAGTGCGTTATCAATTCTCCCTTTATTAGTCCTAAATTTGGCATAAAGTGGCACCGATTGGCTTTGTTCCCAACACACACTATATGCTGGGAACATTTTATCATGGACCACAAGTCCAGTGACTCGCAAATTGTAGTTTTTCTCACATTTACCACCAACATTGTTAAAAATAACACCTTTTACGCCCGGCAAACAGGTAATTGTGTTAAAATCTAGGCTCTTTTTCGACGTTTCACTTATAATAATTGAGTCACCAACACAAGTGACCTTTTCGTACTCTTTTCCAATGTCCCAGCCTTTGAAACTACTTTGTTCACATACTATGTAGAAAGATTCACCTTTTTGGAAAAAAATGCGTCTGTCGTAAAACGAAACTTGAGGTCGTTGTTTCCAATCAGATGTTAAGACTATCGGAGTGTCGTAATCGCTGGCAATTGGGTCGATGAGACACCCTGTATAGTTCAAAAGTAGTTATTTGCAAAAAAAAAATAAAAACTTACAGTCTTCAACAGCTAAAATATTTTGAAAAGTGACAAGAAGAAATAGTACGAAAAGTGACATTTTAACGAAATTGAACCGAAATTTAGCCGTTTGGAATCTATACTTTATATAGATTTATTATCACGTTCGTCATGGGTTATTAACAGTGATAACGAGTTTTTTATGTTGTTGCTTAAGTACTGTAATAAATATAATAGTATATTATGTTCTTAGAAGTAAAAGTAATAGTTTATGTAGCGAAGCTGAATGTTTATTATAGCTGCATAAACTAACATTCATTCCGAATAACATATACTATTTTATCCGCAAACGTATTCAGATTGAAAATAAAGATTAGCAACTAAATGAACAAATTAATTAAAACGCTTTGCAATGTTTATAAACAAATATCAAGAGTCAATATCGGAATTGAAATTTTTCAAAAGTGTTTATTAATTTAACTAGTGCAGTTAGTAGTGCTGATGATGTACAATGTACCTCTCGAGAAATTGGTGAAGCAGCAAAAAAGACAAGAAAAAAACCACACTGGTAAAAGTCTGTAATGTCATGGTAAAAGTAAAACTTAGGCGCAAAACAAGAATTTTTACTCTATGGCTGAAAGGTAAAACTAAAACTTGTGACATTTAGTCATAAAAGTGGTCATTTTTGGGACGTTAGCGTATAAAATAAGTTATTTGAGCTTTTTTTCAGCCGAAAATCAACCTGAATCAAAATATTTCAACGAAATAATAGCTTAAATAAAAGTTTTCTTCTAAATTGCAGCAACTTGAGATATTTTCAATCCAATTTTACTCGATTTTAATGCAGAATTCATTCTAAATTTATGTATTTTATAAAAATAATTTCTTCAATCCAAATTTTAGGCTGAAATGAAGCAATTTGTGCTATTTACAATCGATTTGGCTCAAATTTAAACTGGAAATCAACCAGAATCAAGGTTTTTTTTTATTAAAATAAAGACTTAAATAACAGTTTTTCTCTAAAATAAGACAATTTCAACTAATTTTAACTCTATTTTTTCTAATTTTGTTCTATTTTACTACAGAAATGACTCTACATCAAGTATTTTATATAAATAATTGTTTAATATATAATTTTTGGCCAAAATGAAGCAATTTGTGCTATTTCCAATCGATTTGGCTTAATTTTCAGCCGGAAATCAACCTGAATCAAGATATTTCAACAAAATAATAGTTTAAATTTTTATTTAAAATATCTCAAATTGAAAGAAAACTTTCAGAATCAAGCAATTTGAGATATTTTCAATCCAATTTTGCTCAATTTTATTACAGAAATCATTCTAAATCAATGCATTTCATAAAAATTATTGCTTAAAATCTAATTTTAGGCCAAAATGAAGCAATTTGTGCTATTTCCAATCGATTTGGATAAATTTTAAGCAGGAAAGCAACCTGAATCAAAGTATTTCATCAAAGTAAATGCTTAAATAACAGTTTTCTTACAAAATAGAGCAGTTTGAGATGTTTTCAAACGAATTTTGCTTAAAATATAATTTTTGGCCAAAATGAAGCAATTTGTGCTATTTCCAATCAATTTGGCTTAATTTTCAGCCGGAAATAAACCTGAATCAAAATATTTCAACGAAATAATAGCTTAAATAAAAGTTTTCTTCTAAAATCGAGCAACTTGAGATATTTTCAATCCAATTTTACTCGATTTTAATGCAGACTTCATTCTAAATTTATGTATTTTATAAAAATAATTTTTTCAATTTTCAGATTATTTTTCCAAATTTTCAGCCGGAAATCAACCTGAATCAAAATATTTCAACAAAATAATAACTTAAATAAAAGTTTTCTTCCAAAATGAAGCAATTTGAGATACTTCCAATCCAGTTTTGCTTAATTTAACAACAATTTTAAATTAATGTATTTAATAAAAATACAAATAGAGCGAATAGGGCAAAACCCAGAACCGTTTTGTTTTATAATTTTTTTGCTCAGCTTAAAGTCCTCGAGTAATCCCAGATTGGTGTAGAAGTTTGGAGCGTCCTCGATAAATTTATGTGCGAGCGTCTAAAAGTTAAAGACTTTTATGCTGTGACACTTAAACGTAAGAAAATAAAACAGTTTGAGAGGTCGTGTGGGACCAGTCTCCCGATAAAGGGTTTGACAAATGTTTCGAGGAGCCGAAATCGAGCAAAAGAAGAAAAACGACCTCTCGCACATAACGTCACAACTCAATAATTCTCCGATATTTCAACAATTAGCATTTTGTGTGCAAATGCAAGATCTGTTGCCCGATTCTGGATGCAAATTCGAAAAAAAACCAGCGAACAATAGCTATATCGAATACGATTCGAACGCTATGAAAGAAAAATTGGTTTCCATTGTATCCATTTTTTCCTCTTGTGTGACCTGGGTTTTTCATTTGAATCGGCTCAGCTGGATGTGAATAGGGACTTATTGATTTTATTTTATTTTTAAAACGACGACCGGATAATGATTTATGTGTCAAGAAATATTCCAAGCCTCAATTCGAGCGGAAGATCTCCCCAAATAAAGAATTTCACAGAAAAAAACACTAAAACATTGCGAGCTGGTGCTTTGTGCACCACCGCAATCAAAATAACAAGCGACACTCCAACACAATAGTATACATACTTAATTATAACAAGTGGCAGGTTTACGCGAAATATTGCCCTGTTTTTGAGGATTTCCACCGGAAGTTTATCACGGAATCAACCGGAATTCGACTCGAGCAACGATAAATTTGATTGGACTTGATGAAAAGAGCGTATTTACGGTATTGCCAACCGAAAGAAACTTGTACCCACACGATACACACGCTAATTAGGGGAATAAAGTCGTACGAGGAATGGCAAGTTTGCGTGATTACAAATTGCCATTAAAATTTGAGTAATTTCACATTAAAACGATCACTTTGAAACTTTTGTAAAATTCAAATGTGCCAAAGAACGCCCAAGAATAAGTGTTTCTCCGTCTTTCTTCAAACAGTTTTTTTCGACATAATAAGAAAAATATTAGTCAAAAAAATTGTAATTAACAAATAAATGGCAAATTATATTACATGAAAAAGTAATTAATTATCATCTATGTACATCGAAAACCTCAAACTTCTAAGACGTGATATAATTTTTTTTTTTTAATTTAAGCCAGTATAAAAATATTAGCTTTTCATTTT